GGTTATTTTAATGGTATATAATTTCCCCATTGGTATGTTTATTTAAAATTTTTTTAGTAGAATTTTTATTAAATTTATATTTTCATTTTACGTTATGTCAGATTATTTTAGCTACGTAAACTTAGTTTATTTAAAAGTTGTACTAAATGGTAGTTTATCATATTTTATTTTAATTTAGTTCAATTTAATTTGATTTAATCTTAGCTCATTTAATTTCCATTTTATTTAAAGGAATTTATTGATTGAATTTATTCGTATTTAATTTAAAGTAACTTAGGGTTTAATAGTATTTGTCTAACTGAAGTTAAGTTGTTTCAATTTCAGTAGATTGAGGTTTATTTTATTATTTAATTTGATTCAATCTATGTAACCTAATTTGACTAAGTTTAAATTTCTTTTGTTTATTTCTGTAGACGTGTATGTATTTTCCTCCGTTAGCCTAAATCTTTACTTAGTTTTATTTCACATATATGACTATGTATACACATGCATATGTGTATGTACATGCAGGTATACACGTGTATATATGTATTTGCTTATATGATATATGTATATACCAGGGGCATTAACCAGAGTGTGATTGACAACCAGGTTGGCTCTCTTCTAAGATACTATTATTCAAGAGAAATATCCGACCCGAAATTCATAAAAATTTCCAATTTGACTTAATAAGATGATTCTTCTGAGATCAACGTCAAATTCAATCACACTTTGTTACATACATTTGTACCTAACTCTTATTCCCGGTATATTGCATACATAGGTATGTACCTATGCGTGCATACTAATATACATATATATGTATGGGTGCGTATATGTAAAAAATTTTTTATTTTTTTTGGTTTTTGTTTTCTATGCTTTTACATTTTAATTTCTAGGTTTTTTTAATTTATCTATATTTAATAATTTTTTCCGTTTAATAATTTTTGCCTTTTTCTTATTTAGCCTACATATATAAATGTAAGTGTATATATATATAGGCCCGAAGGACTCACCCTTTGTTGCAGCAGGCCCTGGTGGGGCACTACTGTTGTTGTTGTTGCAGGTTATATTTGTCGCTGCTGATGTTGTCGTTGGTGTTGTGACCGCGGCTATGCGGGTGTTGTTGCTGGTAGCCGGTGGTGGTTGTTGTTGCTGTGGCTGCTGCTGTGGCAGCTGCTGTTGTTGTTGCAGCAAGCCAGTGGTATGGCGCCTGCCGTTGGTGTCGTTACTGGTGGTTGTTGTTGTTGAGCCGGATCGCTGTGCCGGTGTCGTTGTTGCACCGCTGTGGTGCTGGTGTCACTGATGCTGCTGGGTACTGCGGCTGCTACGCTGGCAGCCGATCTTGTTGCAGCAGGCCACTGGTAGGGGTCCTTCCGTTGTTGTGGTTGGTTCTACGACCGCTACTATGAGGTTGTTGTCGGTTGGTATGCCCGCTGCTATGGCGTTGTCGTTGCACCCTATTGCAACCGCCGCTGTAGCGGCTGTTGATGCACCTCGTTGTTCCAACCGCTGCTGTGGCGGTTGTTGTTTCGGTCGCGCGTTGTTGCACCTCGTTACTGCACCCGCTGCTGTGGCGGTTGTCGTTGTTGTTCGTGGGTGCGATAGCCGCTGGTTGGGTCGGTGTTGCGACCGCGGCTATGGCGGTTGTCGTGTGGCGGTGGTACTAATGGGTACCGCTGCTGTTGCAGCGCGGTGGCGGGGCTAGTAATGCGGTCGCTGATGTTGTTACTGTAACGCGAGAACTGTCGGAATGCAAGAATGGGTGTAATATTAAACATAAAATAAGTAATAACATGCAGAATATGTACACTCTAAAAAAGTGCATGTAAAACTACTACTGAAAGTGTTTATACATCGATATCACGCGCAATTTGGCAACGGGAGTCTCGCAAGATTTTTGTAACGCAGTTTCGCGGAAGTTTATAACGGCAGTTCGCGCCGCCAATGAGATCCTGCCACGTAATAGTCCTATAGAGTAGCTTGTCTAAAAGGTGTAGTCTTCTCTTTTCCGCTTTTGCTCTTTTCATGTCCTGGCCGCAATGTTCCCTGTAGTGGCAACCCCGCCAAGAATTGTCAAGATGGCAGAGTCTCATCAACAGTTTGAGCGTTGCCGTACGCTCTGGACAATATTAAATGGTGAATTTTCCTGACACGTTACCGGGTGCACTATACGCCGAAGATTAAAATATTTAGATTTCTGTGCGGCAAACAGTAACCCATAACAATTCCTTAAGAAACATAAAAACATTAATAACTATTAAATATATAGAAATCGAATCATTTAAGCATTCATATTTTTGTATAGAATTCACAAAGCCATGTCGCACGAATACGCACGTATTTGCACAAAATTTTGTCGAACCAAGGTCTGTATATCTACTAGAAACAAAGTTTTGATCCTAGTTTCGTTTGTGGCAATGAGAACCGTACAAATCTGTACAAATGTACCACTCGTGTGAAGCGGCCTCGACAGAGAGATCGAAGGAAGTACAAGTAAAGTAAAGCACAGTATAGTATAGTATAACGAACGTACAAGAGGAACAAACATACAATTAATACATATATAATTATAATTAACTATGGTAAAAACTGGTTAACTCATTTTTGAAACGCAGTGCATTGTTGATTGATCTTATTCTGATAGGTAGTGAGTTCCAAAGGCGGATAGAGTTAATGAAAAATTGACGTTCCGATATTTGAATTCGATGTTTAGGGAGGACAAGTAGTACTGACCTCCTAGACTGAAAGAATTGGAGTCTTCGATATAGATATTCAGGTTCCTTCGTATGTATTATTTTATGTAGGGCTACAAGCACTCTTACTTTTAGCAAATTTTCAAAAGTGATGTTGAGCAACCTCTCAGCTTGTTCAGACACGTGGTCAAGTCTTTTTAGCCCAAACATATATCTAGCAATGTTGTTGTAAGCAACATTTAGTTTTCTTTTACAGGCACAGTCACAATTAGCATAAATCTCACAACCATACAGGAGCGTAGGTATTAAGTACGCTTTCGCCAAAAATAGTCTAATGTTTAAAGGTGTGAAGTACTTTGTTAATCTGAGTGTACGGAGCATACCATACACTTTTCCTACTGCGCCAAAAATGTGGTTTTTCCATTTCAATGTTTTGTTAAATACTACTCCAAGATTCTTGTCAGTGTCGACGTATTCAATTACTGAATTGTCCAAAGTGATCTTGTCTAGACCATCAGAGGCAATGGATTTCCTATGAATGATGATACATTTCGATTTGGTAGGGTTAAGACATAATCCATTCATAGAAGCCCATTCCCCTAGGGTTAAGTCATGGTTCAAATCTTTGATACAAATACTAATACGATCAGGAGGACATCAAACATATAATTGGACGTCGACAGCATATATGTGGACATTACAATATTTAAGGATGTTAGGCAAATCATTGACGTACAAAACAAATAACAAAGGACCCAGGAACCCCTCTGGCTACAGATAGGAAATCAGAATTCTTGCTACCAATACTCACCGCCTGAGTTCTGCCCCTGAGATAAGATGTGATCAGTGAGCATGCTGGACCAGAGAAGTTAAATAAGTTCTTCAACTGTTGACATAATATCATGTGGTCCACTGTGTCAAAGGCTTTGGAATGATCTAAGAGGGTTAGGAAAGCAATATTATTATCATCAAGTTGCGATCGAATACTTTCGATTACGTGTAATAGTGGTGTTGTACAGCTCCTTTTAGATCTAAAGCCCGATTGGTGGTCTGTTAGAAGTCTGTTGTATTTCACATAGGAAATAATTTGTTCATGTAAAAGACGCTCTACCACTTTTGATAGAAAGGGAAGGATAGCTATTGGTCGATACTCGTTATTTTTATTATGAACAGGGATTATCTTAGAAACTTTCTAACACTTACAGGTCTATTCTGCACGTTACCGAAGATTTTGTAACCGGAAATTTTTATTACCAAAAAATGTTACCAGTTCTTGTCGGCGCGATTCTAGGAACGTTGGTAATGCAAATTAAAATATTCAGCAATTCAGCTATGAAGAATTGTACAAATTCTGGCATTGCATATTTCACGTGGCAATACTTTGTACCAGCTTATGAGATGGTAACAAATTTACCGGTTACAAGAGTACACAGAATGCGAACAGGGTTTAAAAATTGACAGGAACTTCATTTACCGGTTACTAATTTTTTATTACCAGCGCAGAATAGACCTGTTAGGGAAGACACTGGTGGTCAAAATTGAGTTGATTAGGTAAGTCACGTGAGGTAGGAATTTAGGTAGTATTATTTTCAGAAAATTTGCATGAACTCTGTCAAATCCCACGGCTTTAGATTTAATGGATAGTATGGCTTGCACGACATCACAGTCATCTGCACAAACAAACTCTTACTAACATTTACACGTGCACTGTAGTTGTCAAGACATGTATTAGCTAAAGAACTGGGTGGACTAACAAATTTTCTATTTAATTCGTCTAAATTTAGGTCGGAGTGTAGAGATAAACTTTCCTTTGATTTTCCCATCCCAATTTCTTTAATTGTATTCCACGTTTGATTAGAATTCATGGCTGAGCTGAACTTTTCCTTATAATACGTAGCTTTCGCAGACCTTATTGCTTTGTTGACAATGAGCCGAGCTGTTTTGAAGCGGCTTAAGGCTTCACGGGTTCTGTACCGCTTCTACCTCGCGCAGGTTTGATTACGAGTATAAACAAGGTCTTTTAATTTAGGATTGAACCAAGGGCTGCTGTTGCATTTTGTTAAATATTTTGCGTCTGAGTGGAACGAAGTCATCAAAGAGCCTATTTATGTGTTCTTTAAGGAACTTAGTTTGGTCGTCAATATTTACCAGCGTTCGAATCAGATTTCATTCCACTGAATCCACCGCATCAGTGAGAGAGGTATAGTTGATGTTCTTGAA